GATTCAGTATATGGGAACTAAGAAGGAGCCATGGCTCAGTGGAAGAGTGTCTGCTTAGCATACGGAAGGTCCCAGGTTCAATCCCCACCATCTCCAGTTAAAAGGACCAGGCAGTAGGTGATGTGAAAGACCTCCGCCTGAGACCCTGGAGAGCCACTGCCTGTCACAATACATAATACCCATCTTGATAGACCAAAGATCAGTGTAAGACAGCTAGGAGGGGGCTATGGCTCAGTGGTCGAGCCTCTGCTTGGCATGCAGAAGGTCCCAGGTTCAATCTCCGGCCTCCCCAGTTAAAAGGACCAGGCAGTAGGTGATGTGCAAGACTTCCTCCTGAGACCCTGGAGAGCCACTGTCTGTCAGAATAGATAATACCCATCTTGATAGACCAAAGGTCAGTGTGACAGCCAGGGGTCATTTCGTAGAAAAAGAGCTAGGGGGACTCATTAGCATAACTCATTAGCATATGCCACACCCCCTGACATCACCGGAAGTGTGTCATAAGGCCACGCCCCCTGACATCACTGGGGTTCCCATTCCTAAGGTGGAGGCAGGGGATCTCCCATGATTGCGAGGAGGAGGAGGCAGCCTGGGCGGGTCACGGTGGCGCAGGTGAGCCGCGGAATGGCGGGGCTGCTTCTGGCGGCGGCGGCTTCCCCCACGCTCAGCCGCCCGCTTGCTGCACCGAGCGTGACGGGAAAGGCGAAGCCGGGAGGCGGCTGGGAAACCTGCTCGCTCGTCCGTGCCCAACGCAGCGCGCCCCGCCTCCTCCCCACAGCCGGCGGCGACCTCCAGCGGGCACCAGCAGGGAGCTCCAGGCCCCACCCTCCCGCACCTCACCCGGGGGGATGGCGTCCCCCCGCGTCCCCCCCCAAATGACCCCTTGTGACAGCTGGGAAGGGGCTATGGCTCAGTGGTCGAGCCTCTGCTTGGCATGCAGAAGGTCCCAGGTTCAATCCCCGCCATCTCCAGTTAAAAGGACCAGGCAGTAGGTGAGGTGAAAGACCTCTGCCTGAGACCGTAGACAATACTGACCTTGATGGAGTGATGGTCTGATTCAGTATAAGGCAGGTTCATGTGTTCATGTGAACTTGGGGCCTTCCATAAACACAAATTACCTTCTACTTTCCCTTTCCCCTTGTTAGAGGATAATAACTCTGAAAGCCAGTGTGAGCCGGAGGCTAAAAAACAGTGAGCTGGCTCACGCAAACTCAGCTTAGGGGAAACACTGATAGTGAGAGAGGCTGAAGATTCTCTGGGAGGATTCTCACACTTGCAGAGCCATCAGCCAATGGCAAGGGAGTTGGTGACACCATAAGGCATTCCCCTTAGTTGGGTATTGCAATGCAGGGTGGGAGAACATAAGAGAAGCCAGTGTTGGATCAGGCCAAAGGCCCATCCAGTCCAACACTATGTCACACAGTGGCCAAAAATACCAGGTGCCATCAGGAGGTCCAGCAGTGGGGCCAGGACACCAGAAGCCCTCCCACTGTTGCCCCCCCCAAGCACCAAGAACACAGAGCATCACTGACCCCAACCTGAGAGTTCCTATCTATTCCTCGTGGCTAATAGCCACTGATGGACCTCTGCTCCATATGCTTATCCAATTCCCTCTTGAAGCCGTCCATGCTTGTAGCCACCACCACCTCCTGTGGCAGTGAATTCCACGTGTTTAGAGGTCATTTCGGGGGGGATCACGGGGGATCGCAGTTCCCCCGGGTGAGGTACGGGGGCGGGGCACATGACGAAGCCCCGCCCCCTGCTTCCGGCCGCCCCGCTTCCGGCCCTCATTCAGCCAGGAGGAGGCAGGAGAAGAGGGAGGGTAAGTTGCTTCCTCCCTGCCTCTCCCCACCCCGCTTCCTCGCACTCCCGCCGGCCTTGCAGGTCCACCGCCGGGCCCCTCATGGGGCTCGGCAGTGGCGCTGCAAGGCCGCCGCCCGGGACCATTGGGGGCGGGGTTTGTGGCCTTATGACACATTTCCAGTGATGTCAGGGGGTGTGGCATATGCTAATGAGTTCCCCTAGCTCTTTTTATATGAAAGGACTCCTGCACGTGTTAATCACTCTTTGGGTGAAGAAGTACTTCCTTTTATCCGTTCTAACTCGACTGCTCAGAGCTGCCAGGTATTTGCAAACTCCACAGGTACTCCAGTTTACAGTGTATCAGACAGATGGATTCCCATCAATGGATGGAAGCAAATTAGCACATCCCTGCAAGAGTTAACAAAGAGATGTGAAAATGAAATTGGAGTCCAGCAGCTCATTCTCACATCTCTTGCATTTAAGGTGCTAATTTGCTGCCATCCATTGATCCTTCTGGCCACCCATGCCAATTTCAGCTCTACGTGTACATCTGGGCTCTGAGTGGCCCCTCCTAATGGTATACCCTCACCCTCTTTTCCCCCTGTAACTAGCTTTTGAGATTTCCAGCCCCTACCTGGAGGTTGGCAACCCTAGCAGATACCCACATTTCTAATCCAGGAAAGAGGAAGACACAGGACAAACAGAAGTTGGATCAAAAGGGAAAAGGAACGTTAGCAGAATCTCACTGTTTTTCGGGGAAGGGAAATATTCTGAAATTGAAAGAAGATTACAAAATTAGTTGCTGTAGATTTTCTGGGCTGTATGGCCGTGGTCAACGTTCCCTCTAAACTGTCAAGTCTTGTGAGCAAAAATTCTACTTTGTGAGCTACTGGCATCAAAGTTGTGAGCGAGCAATGTGGCTGCTGCATAAATTAGTCTGCTCTGGAGCCATCCTTCCTGAGCTAAGACAAAAATGTGTGACCCGGAGGCTAAAAAACTGTGAGCTAGCTCACACTAACTCAGCTTAGAGGGAACAGTGGCCGTGGTCTTGGCATTGTAGTACCTGACGTTTTGCCAGCAGCTGTGACTGGCATCCTCAGAGGTATAACACAGAAAGATGGAGTACTCTCTGTGTCAGTGTAAGAAGAAAAATGGTAGGCAGGTAATTTAAATCTACTCAGGAAGGTGGGGTAGGGTAGGGTAGGTATCTCCTGAGTAGATATAAATTACCTGCCTACCATTTTTTTCTTCTCACATTGACCCAGAGAGTCCTCCATCTTCCTACGTTATACCTCTGAGGATGCCAGTCACAGCTGCTGGCGAAACGTCAGGTCCTACAATGCCAAGACCACGGCCATACAACCCGGAAAATCTACAACAACTAATGAACTCCGGCTGTGAAAGTCTTTGACAAAATATTCCCAAAAAACTGAAACTAGAGGATATCCAGCTGCAGCTCGAAAGAGAAGACTGTTGTCACGTATAATGCTAAGAAAAACCTTTGTGCTTCTTATATGCAGGGCCGTAGCCAGGATTTTGTAATTCGGGGGGCCTTTGAATAAGTTGGGGGGCACTGACATCACAAAATAAAAAATAAATTTTTAATAAAATTTTAAAAAACTCACTTTTGCAGCATTACATAAGAACATAAGAGACGCCAATGTTGGATCAGGCCAAGGCCCATCCAGTCCAACACTCTGTATCAAAGACTAGCTAGATTCTTTCTATGGCTTGTTGCCGTAATAAATGACTGACTGACTGACTGACACTCTGTATCACACAGTGGCCAGAAATACCAGTGCCATCAGGAGGTCCACCAGTGGGGCCAGGACATTAGAAGCCCTTCACACTCTGCTTGCCTACATGGGGAAACAAGCTGTGCTTGGGGAAGGGGCAGTGGTGGGGAGTCCTCCACGTGGCCCAGAGAGTTGGGGGGGGGGCTGGGGGCTTCATGGAAGTCGGGGGCCTTGGCAGGATGTCAGGGGGCCAGGCCCCCAAATGCCCCACTGTAGCTACGGGCCTGCTTATCTGTGGTTTGGGCAGAGCAGGGTGCCTTGCTCACATTCTCCAAGCAACGTGTGAACCGTGAGTCACCCCCATGTAGCTGAGGAAGCATCTAAGAGACCCAAGCATATTGGTGGAGCCGTCTGCATGAAGCGTACCATCAGGGTGCCAGTTCTGTGGCAAAGACCATATCAATGTCCACGCGAACACAGCTGGGTCATTTAGACATTGTCCTGGCGGTGTGGAAGCTACTCATGGTATAAGGGCCACCCATGCACCCTATTAACATGGGATAGAAAATGGAAGATCAATTAGCTGAACAAACGAGTGCATTCCGGACCAACGGAACAACAGAAGGGGCCGGATGACGGCCTGCCGTTTGTATAACCTCTTTTATTGGAAAGGAGCTAGTATGGATTGTTGATCCACTCCAAACACACTCTCTGTCCCTGATCCAATCAAAACACACATGGGCCTGGAGCCCAATGAAAACAGGCTAGGCGAGGGAGGGGCTTTCATCACCCCTGGCAACCATCCTCCCTGACTTACCCTTGAAGAGCCACTGGGCCGAAGTATTCTCAATCATTCACTGCAGCACGGAAATATTAATTAATTTGTTTCGCGGAGGCCATTGTGCGGCCGACATTCCAACCATAAGTGACAGAAACCAACAGAAACGGAGAATAGTTGCCTCTGGGGGGAAAATTACAACATGCAAATGAAACAGGAAAAAAATAGCTGCCAAGGGAGTCAGATTTTAGACTTCATCGACACATTACAGGAGTGGTAGGGTTTAGTGTTCTTCCACTTGCAGGTGTGGGGCCCTGTTTTAGAATGTTCCCCCATGCAAAAAATAAAAATCAAATCCACGCCTGTCGCAAACTAGCATCTCAAGGGGGAAA